TTTTTCGTTTCGCTTGGTAACGAGCGGTCCGTGTACCGGTAAGCTGACGGACCGATACGTACCGCCCGTACTGGGCGGTATTATTCGAAATTGCATACCTTGGATTAAATCATCATTAAAACCAATAATCACAGCATTATAAATCTTAATTAAAACCTAGTTACACCTATTATGCCATCATAAACATATAAATCACCTTAATATGCATGAAATACAAAGATTTGATCCATTAACTGTCTAATTTCGAAAAAATCTGCACTAAACACACTAATCACAACATTAAATGCCTTAATTACTCCTTAATTAATATTATTCTACCATCAAAAACATATCAAATAACATATTAGACATTAAGTCATTAACCATATAAAATAGGCTTAATCATCTCATAAGTCAATAAAAATCTAGAAAAAGGACACATACTTTTTGATTAATGTGTTTCCTCTTAATCCTCCCAAATGAGTTTCTCAAATTTGATCCAATCCACAAATTGTAGCTTTGTTGAATTTAGGAGTATGAAAATGTGAGACTGAAAGAGAGATGTAAGTGAGAAAGAGTGAGAGAGTTGAAGAGATTGAGAGAGTGAAATAAGTTGAAAGAGGAGGAAATGATTTTTTTAAACCCTTTCCAGTGGTTCAAGCAGTCAATTTGACCATTTGAAATAGGACAATCTTAGCCTTTGATCGGTAACGGTCGAAATCTGACCGTTACCAACCTGTATTGGTTAGTAACGATCGAATTTCGATCGTTACTGACTGGTACAAACCCCATATCGGGCGATGCGAGGTCATGTAATGGTATCGTCCGGTATAGGATGGTCTGCGTATCGATTTCATATCGGACCGGTATGTCTCACCTGTACCGAGCGATACGTGTTGGTATAACAAATCCTGAGTGGTACGAGGAGAGGTAGAGGAAGACCTAAATAGATTTGAATAGAAACTATAAATAAAGATTTAAGTACTCTGGACTTAACTAAGCATATGACTTCTTACAAATCTCAATGGCAGCAAAAGATCCATGTAGTCGACCCGAAGTAGTTGGGACTTTTGGCTTTGTTGTTATTGTTATTATTCTCTTAACTGATCTGGTTGCTAAATTAGGAAGCATCAATTTATTGTGATATATATATTAAACATGCAGGCTTGCTGTAATATTTTTTGTCCATTTCTGATAATTAGTCTGTAACCTCTTCACAAAATTGTCTTGATCCTGCAATGATTATCCTCAGTTATGTTCTTTTTTCCTATGTTTCCATCCACCTATGTGTCGAAGAACAAACTAAATGTTTTCCCTTTTTGTGGAGGTTAGGAATTTACCTACTTTTGCTTTTTATATTACTTCCTGGACAATTGTTATGATTAGGCATGCCAAAATTTTCTTTCCCTGTTATGACATTACTATTAGAGGATTAAATGAAACTTTTGGCATCTTCTTATCTTAAGTATCTATTATCTACATTCCTCAGGAAAAAATCACCTTATTTATCAAAAATAGCCTTATTTGTCATCCTAAACTTATGATCATAATTAAGCTTTTATTTGTCATATCACTTGAATGGCTGAATTGAGAGCATATGTCTTCTATTGTGCTTTAGAATTATAAATAATTAAATGCTACAATGTCTATTTGCTTCTGGCGATTTGGTTTTCCATTTTCTCTCTATTTTTCTGAATTTTTTTGCCTGTCTTTTTTCAGTTGTCTGATCCTGACTTTCTGTTTGGATGTATATTGTTTGTTTCTTAGGCTAATGTAGACTATATTTAAATTGCAGGAGGAACTCAGCCATCCACCTTCTGTTATTGGGCATATTGCACGCCCAGTTAGTCGAAATGCATATGATAATGTTGATCCAATAAGAGGTCTGGATTCACCACTAATGCAGCTTCATGATGGCTCTGACGCTTTAGGTGGCATGCAATCTGGGACAACTTCCTCCAGTCTTACTAGGGTCCAAAGCCTTGGGTCATCAATTTCACATTCCTTTGCATCTGCATTGGCTTCCTCTCTTTCCAGAAGTACAACCCCTGATCCTCAATTGATTCGGAGATCACCAAGCCCCTGCCTTCCGCCTGTGGGAGTGAGAAACAGTGATATTTATCGACCAAATGGCTTAGGTGGTGTTTCATCTCATATGGCTGACTGTGGTGATGTTGTGGCTGGTTTATCTGACTTGAACTTGTCTAGAAGAATAACATTAGATGGAGAAGGCCATGTACCAGGCCAACCTAACGAGGAATTTCCTAATCAATCTGGATTGCTTTATGATATACCTGGCGATGACAGACAATTTCTGCAGCAAAAAATCATTGATAAATCCTTGTCACCGATGCTGAAAAATCCCAATAATGTTGTTGGATACAGTGATTCGTCCAAGAAAACTGGTAGTTCAACAGACTTTGGTTTACCAGAATTGTCAAAGCAACCCTCCTATAATAAAGTTTACAAGAAAGTACCTTCTGTAGGTACAACAATTTCTAGAAATCTACATCCAAATGCTGATGTCCCGAGTATTGACTTTGGTGGTTCAAGCTCAAAATCTTATAGTAGCAATCACGGACTGCAAACAATGCTAAATAATCAGCTAGATGCAGGTAGTTGTTCTCTCTTTCTTTCTTCCCCCTTCATTTCCTATTTTTCAACACTCATGCAACCATAAATGTAAGTATTACATGCATGAGTATTTTCAGGTATGTTATTATAGCTATTTTGTGTAGGTATATGTTTCTTGGATGTATCATATCCACATGTTTACATATGAATGTGTCATATCCAGTAATTTCTTTTTTCTGTTTTTTAAGCTAACTCATTGTGAAAATTGATGGATGGTGCAGGACAGTATCTGAATACAACTGGGAATCAGGTGGCCTCTGGTTTCCAGGGACAAATTATGGACTCTCTGTTTTCCCAGCATTTACAGAGTGCTTCTGAATCACTAGTACATGCTGCTGGAAGTTTGAATTCTTATTCGGGAAGGAATTTTCTTGGTGTTCCGCAGATGGACTTGCCCGAGTATCAAAATGCATATCTTGGATCCTTGCTTGCCCAACAAAAATTACAATATGGCATGCCTCTCCTGAGCAAATCTGGTGATTCAGATCATGGCTTCTATAGCAGTCATTTTTTTGGTGTTGGTATGCCATATCCAGGAAGTCATCTATCTACTGCTATTCACACTCCTACCTTGGGTTCTGGAAGCCCTGTAAGGCAGGGTGAGCGGTTACGCATATCCTCCAATATAAGGACTGCAACTGGAGGGTCCATTGGATCATGGACCACAGAAAATGGTGCCATGAAAGAAGGTTACATGTCGTCTTTGTTGGAAGAATTTAAGAACAACAAGACTAGATCTTTTGAGCTGTCAGATATTGTAGGTCATGTTGTTGAATTCAGGTACTCTCTGTTCAATTCCCTACAGATATCTATCTTTCAGATTTTAAGCAAATTTTTAAACGTCGGGATTGGAAATGGTTGGTCAGATTGGAGGATTGATTTTGACAAAATTTAATTGTTATAATTCAAAATTATCAATTAATAATTAATTAAAATTGAAAAATTTAAATTTAAGTTTGAAGCTGTCATTTTTAATGTCTTAGTTTCTACCTTGGAAGTTTGGTAATGGGATTACCACATAAAGCTTGATTTGTGTGCTAGTTTGCTGATTTTTATATATGCCACAATTTTGTGATTGATAAAAATTGTAACCAATTATCATATATTTGTAGTTTCTATTATTGGTTGTTACGTATAATTCTGTACTGCATAATGTTATTTTCTGTATGATTTTATATGATATTTATATTATTTTGCATGATACCATGCAATATATTTTGCTAGCTGATCAAAAATCAGATTTTCCCTTTTTTTTGGTGGACTGTTTGGTTTGGCTATGGTCAATCCCAGAACAAATTAGCTGTTTCAGGTTAGGATTGATCGATTTTTATAGATCATGATAAAACTATGATAGTCAGTTAGGACTGATAATTGACTCCTTTGTTTTTCCAGTGCGGATCAGTTTGGAAGTCGTTTTATCCAACAAAAACTTGAGACTGCTACAGAGGAAGATAAGAACAAGATTTTTCCTGAGATACTTCCTAAAGCTCATTCTTTGATGACTGATGTTTTTGGGAATTATGTCATTCAGAAAGTATGAAGTCTTTATTCTAACAAGTTATTCTTTGCATTCTGTTCTTGAAAATATCTAATGTTGATAATCACTATAATTGCAGTTCTTTGAGCATGGTACAGAAAGTCAGAGAAAGCAACTTGCAGGTCAACTTAAGGGTCATGTTTTGCCTCTCAGTCTTCAAATGTATGGTTGTAGGGTAATCCAGAAGGTTTGATATAAGCAATCTCTTACCTTTTATTCCATGTCTTGGATTCTTACGAGGATAACTACATCTTGTTTCTGTTTAATTTTCCTGTTTTGCTTGTTTATCTGCTTGCTTTATGTTGTTCAGAATATGATGATTTCATTATGCTTTTTTGATAATTAGGGTCATTTGAAGACAATTTGAATCATAAAAAGGATTCAAATATCATTAAATGTGAACGCCATGACTTGTTGATTGCAATGCCCTTAATCTTAGACTTATATAATATGAGACTAATATCCAAAATTTAAGGCACATTAAGAATTGTTCAACAACAATAACATGAGCAAGATATGTGTTCCGACTAGCACATCAAGAATTATTACTTATTAGATTCCTATTGAGGGCTATCAGCAATAAATTTGAATATTTAGAACATTATAATCTCTGATTCTGGTAGCAAGTGCTAAAATAAAACAGTATGCTTCTCATAACTGGCATTCTCAATGGTGGCAAAAGACTCACGTAGCTGATTACAAATAGTTGAGATCAAGGATCATCGAACCTCCAGACCAGTACTGGATTTTGGTCTGCGTAGATGTGGACATGGACGAAGCCCGATCAGGCTGTTCAGATCCGGTATGGTGTTTATTGCCCGAATGTCAGGACGTAGATGAAGCCCAAACATCACTATTTTGATTAGGAATTAAGCCTACACCTTGATTTTGATTCAGATTTAGTTGCCTGAATGTTAGTTTCATAACCTTTATCTTCCTAATTCTTTCTGGACTTCCTAAGCTGCTGTTCTAACCTGTTTATGACAGGAAACAATTGAACCCCTGACATGGCTGGTTGAACTTGATTGACATGTAAGCTGGCAAGGTAGAGCTGTGGAGTGAATTTTCTTGCATTGTAACATAATGATTTTTGGAGACTGAAGAATAGCATATATTTACATCAAATCTTAGTTCTCATTATATTTACGCATGTGACTAGCATTCAAGTTTACATATACATGACTTACCAAGTATGTTGAGTTTATGACTGAAGAACTTTGGGTTTCTTGCCTGATGAGATGTTGCATTTGTTTTGTTCTCAAATTTCATCTGTACTTTTCAAAATGATGAATTAAATACCTAATTTGATGTCGGTGCATTCCCTCATCACAATACGTGTTCAAGATTTGCATTCTCACATCGTATAGTATGGCTTTAATTCATTATTTTATTTCTACTTGGACCTGCTACAAAACTCCATCTCATGCATTTGATGTTGTCATCAGAAAGTTTGGCTCATTCTTTTGGCAGGCACTAGAAGTGGTTGATGTAAATCAACAGACTGACATGGTGCTAGAGCTTGATGGACAAATAATGAAGTGTGTGCGTGATCAGAATGGCAACCATGTAATCCAGAAATGTATCGAATGTGTTCCTCAGGAAAAAATACAATTCATAATTGAATCATTCTTTGGGCATGTCGTGGCCCTGTCCACCCACCCATATGGTTGTCGAGTCATACAGGTGCCAGAATAATCTTCTTTGTGTCACTTATTATAACAATTATACAAGTGACAGTGTCTAATTATTTGCTCGCATATGCTTTTCTTGTTCTATCTCTGGTGTATCACATCTTAAATATGCAGAGAGTCCTGGAGCACTGTGATGATCCAAAAACTCAAAGCATCATGATGGATGAGATCAGGGAGTCTGTTTGTACTTTGGCACAAGACCAATATGGGAATTATGTTATTCAAGTAGGTTACTTTATCATTTAATTGAATTGGTTTCCTCTTATAATATGTGTGCATTATGTTCCTATGGCGGAATGTTGCCCGTGTCTGCTATGCTGGTTAAAGTTCATGACCTGGGGTATGGTTACTTGCAGCTTTTTGTCAACAGAACATTTATATTTTGTTTGGTGACATGGTTACTTCAACATCAAATTTTCAATATTTTAAATTTGATTTGAAGGTACTTGCTAATGAACTGAAGAAGATAATTCTCAAATTACCTCTAAAACAATATGATTTTGTTGACATTTAAGTGGAGAGGCATAGTGTTTCTGTGATATCTTAAAATATCCTACCAGATATGGACTATGATACGAGATTTTGTCGCTATCCAACCCTCAAGGAGTAACTCCAGTGCAACTTGCTGGAATTAAGGATACAAAATTTCAAGCTTGGGATGTAACAAATTATTGTATTTGAGCTGATCTAGGATCATGGTTGTGGATTTGTGGGCCTTTCCTGCCAGTGGGATGATTGTCGATGTTTGCAAGCTATGTAGCCTGCTAATAGTTGAGCTTGCATAATAGACTAATAGTGGGCCTAGAGGCATCAGTACCCCTTTTTTTATGAGTGGTGTGGGTGTGTCCCTTTTTTTTCCTTCTTTTTTTTCTTTAACCTGTGGTCTGCACTTTGCAAAAAATGAAAAGGTAGGTAATAAATGATCGAAAGGAGATGTGATGAAGAAAGATCTATCACACATTGGGCTGCTTACTTAGAACATGAAGATAATCGTGTGCATTAGGAGTAGTGTATTAGACTTTTCAACCTAGGTTCTGTCCTGGTAACTCTGTGCTTGCTATTTTATTGGTTTGTCATGCAAATTATAAGCGACTCTTTAACCCATCCTGAACTCATTTAATTTAATGTAAGGGAGGAGAAAAGGTATAAAACACTATTTCCCTTTGGGTCATGTTTTGATGCTTGATAACCACGGAATTTTTGTTGCAAATTGAACAATACCAGCAATTACTTTCAATGAAATTAAAACTGTTGATGTAGCAGCTAAGTTAATAAAACATGAAAAGATTACAGAACAGAAAGATTAGCCACTGCATATGGCTTGTATATTAGCTGCTACTCATTGCTGTTTTATTGTTATGATGTGTTCACTTTCTTTATTTGCCTGTCTTTTGTGGTGCGAGTTTTTCTGAACAGTTGTCGTGATGCTTGAATTGCATTATATGGAGTGCCTCAGAATTAATTGTATTTCTTCAGGATTTTACTTTTGTTGGACTTCATGTTTATGCTTATTATTTTCTTTACTTTTTTTATCAGTTGTTTTTCATTGCGCTTATTGTTTATGTCACACGTTTTCATTTTTATACATTTCATTATGAATTGACATGGTTTTCCTGCTTGTTTTATTAGCATGTTTTGCAGCATGGTAGACAAGAAGAACGGTCTGATATTATAAGCCAGCTCACTGGACAGATAGTAAAAATGAGCCAGCAAAAATATGCATCAAACGTAGTAGAGAAGTGCTTGACTTATGGTACCCCTGAGGAACGCCAACTTTTAATAAATGAAATGCTTGGGTCAACTGATGAAAATGAACCCTTACAGGTATGCTATTCATACTTTTTTTCTATTAGACTAGCATTAGGTTTTTATCACTTAGGAAAATAAATCAAGGTGTTGTCTTTTTAGAAGTAAAAACTATTAATCTATTTGGTTGGTTTAGCTGAATGGATGGGAACAAAGACTTTAGTGGCAATGTTAGTGGTGAGAAGTCTTGCTTTCATGATGAATGGTGATCTTTGTGATACTTTCTTTAAGCTGATTTAACACCTAAGAAAATTATGTATGGACATATTGGTCTGAACACTGGAAGTGTTACGTATTGTCAAGGATTGAAGTTCCTATAGCATTGATGGTACTGGCAGTCAAAATGCTACATTCTATTCTGTGCTTGCTGACACAGTTGGTATCTTGCAGAACCAGAAAAAAAGAAAAAAAAAGAAAGAATTTGTTGGTGTACCTTCCCAAACTTTCATACATGTCCTATTAGCCTCCATCGACTAGCTGTTGTAGTGGTGACTTTTGGATGGGTAAAAAGACTGAGGCCTGATCCTTCAGTTCTAGATGAGGTGAAACTACCCATTTGTTTCTGCTGTCCCTCACTTGCTTTGCTGCTTATGATGGGGAGGGCTTTTGTTGATCGTAGCATGTTGCTATGTATGCTGTGCTTGCAGACACTATTCTACATCTTGGACGTGGATGAATTCATATCATCAAAAAAATAAATGTGATCTCATACTATTCATTATCGAACATAATGGATGAAAACATACTTTGATTCATTCATTTCTTTGGTCTTCAGTTACAATTCTGATTCCCCTATTATAGGCCCATGTACTGAAAAAGAAAATACACAATTAAAGAAAAAAAAAACAATTATATGTAGTCAAATATATCAATTATGTTTTTCTTCTTTGAAGAAGATAGACATTTCGGATTTATTTTAGAAAATAATTCTTCCATTTTGATGGTATTCTTGATTGATGTGCTTAATGGAAAAACTTTCTTGTGAGGATAAAACCTTCAATCAAATTCTGATGTCTCTTTCCTTTTTCTTCATATCTTCAATCAAACCTATTATTATCTCATTTTCTTCGTTTGGCTACCCCTTTTTCCTTCTTCCTTCTTCTTGGACACCCTTGGTAACTAATATAGGGTTGTGGTAGATGTTGTAATGTGACAATTTATGAAATTTGTGAGTCACTGATAAAAAAATTATTCAAATAAGAAACAACTAAAATGGTCCTGCATCACATGCAATGCATTTCAACTAGTAGGTTACCATTAATAACCTTTCATTATGAATGTGTTGGTACCGGCAGTAGATTGTAAGCTTAAAACATTTAAAATGCTCATGCTTGTTGCATGATATTGGTGTGTTTTACATTTTCACATTCCCTTCAAGTATGTGTTCTGATTTTTAATTTGGCTTCACAGGTGATGATGAAGGACCAATTTGCTAATTATGTTGTTCAAAAGGTTCTTGAGACATGTGATGATAAAAACCGTGAACTGATCCTTTCACGCATCAAGGTTCACTTGAATGCACTGAAGAGGTACACATATGGGAAACATATAGTTACCCGTGTCGAGAAGCTTGTTGCTGCAGGAGGTAAGTCTGTTTTTAGTAGGCTGTCATCTGCCACAAAATGCTATATCACTTTGTACTGAATCATGCCACCTCCGTCTTGCAGAAAGGCACATTGGGGTGCCCTCGCATTCATCATGAGAAGTCGCAGTCTCACTGGATCGTTGTACAGATAATGAGGCTAGTGTAACCATCTAGTTAACCTTTATTTTCCGCATAAATGGCGAGTTTGAGCCTGACCTCTCTTAATGTAAATAAAAGACGGTCATGTTCGAATAAGAGTTTTCCCCTGATCTCATGTATATTTGCACCCTGTATTCAAGTAATAGATAAAGTAACAGCAATGTTATCAAATATGATGTGTAGACAAATGTAGATCTTTGGCCTTTGATGCATCCAGAACTGTAAATTTGAGTGAGTAATGTTTATTGGAAGAGCACAGGACGCTGTTTTGGCCTGCATCTCTTTACACTTTTTTGCCCGTTACCAGATAAGAAGATGCTTGTACTTCGGAATACATTCATTGTTCAAATCCTCTGTATGATTCTGGTTGAGACTAATCCATAGAGAAAGAATATTATAATTCTTTCTTCAATTGTATTGTGTGTGCAAAACAAGCCAATTCCAGCCTTGAAAATTATAATTCTTTCTGCAATTTTAGATGAACCATTTGGAAAAAAAATTCACCTTGTAAGTATCAATTTAAATTAGGTTGGATGATGGTTGCCGACTCGATGTTGATATGCTCGACATGATTTACTTACGTAAAAAAATCTTGATTAAAGTCTTGAGTTCATATAGTCGAGAGATATTTTTACGCAAAGATCAATGTCGAGAGTTTATTTTTGTTATGAATAATATTTGACGTAGCAAAAAATATTGGTGGTAGGAATCCAAATGCTTTTATTTTGCCAAAGATATTATCGAATAATCTTTTTCAATAGAATCAAGAAATTTATTTTGCCAAAGATATTATCTAATAATTTTTTTCAATAGAGTTAGGAATCCAAACATTGCTCATAGAACATAAAAGAATAGCCTGTCAAACAAAAATAATTATCTTTTATTTTTTGCGCAAAGGGTGAGGAACGAAAATAAAATTTGAATATAAGATTTTATCGTAATCCATCAAAATTTTTACCAACTAAGCTTACAAACACCTTTAACAATCATCGTTTTAATATCCAATATTCTTTTAAATAATATCATCATAAGCAACTTAGGGAGGCTTTCTATGAGCACACCAAAATATTTACAATTATTTATTTATTTACTTAAAGAAATTAGAGGGGTAAATATGTAATTTGAGGACTTGTAATATATATATATATATATATATATATATATATATATATATATATATATATATGACGTAATTAATAATAATAGCCTTCGATGGACTGCGGTCGACGTATTCAAAGACCAAAACCTGCCTCCGCCTTCCTTCCCGCGTGCCGCTCTATTCGTAGCCAACTCGCTTCCCCTCCAATCCTCCATTCTCGCCGTCCCTCTCTCTTTTCCACTCCTTTCTCGTCCCCCTACCCGCCCCTCCCCACCCCACTCCACCCTCCTCCCCACGGCCCAAAATCACCGTCGCCACCCACCAGTTCACCCGCCATCCACCCCATCGCACAACCCCCGTCGCACATATCGCGCGATGCCGGCCGCATGGTCCCGCCGGAGGCCGCGACCGGCCTCCCGCGTCGCGTTCCTTCACGTCGCCCTCGCCCTTGCGGCCATCCTCGGCCACCTGCCCCTCGGGCGGGGCCAGGATTACGATGACTACGCCGACGGGAGCAGCGGCGGCCAAGGCGCATCCTCGTTGTTTGCCGGCGTCATCTATGACCGGCTTATGAACCTCACCGGCACCTTCGCCAAGGACATCGGCCAGCACCTGGATTTCTGTGTCCAGAACACGTAGGTTTGCTGACGCTTTTGCTTGTTCCACTGAATCGGTGGCGGTTTGGGTGAAGGGGTTTGATTCTGGAGGTGGTGATGTTGGTTCCAGGGATAAAGACTGGAATGAGGCGTTCAACTTCTCGTCGGATTTGAGTTTCTTGACGAATTGCATGAAGGAAACAAATGGTACGACGAGCTCTTCTTGATTCTGTTCTTATGTCAAACGAAAACACTCGTTTGGAAACGAGAGAAATAATCTAATTCGATACAATTTAAGACTTCAAATGCAATTAGGCAACTGAGGATGAATTTTGTGAAATACAAGCCAACAGCAGAAGATTTGGATGGAAGAGACTGACATTGTTTACAGGAATTTGCAGCTGAATGCGAGCAAACCCTGTTGTGGGGAAGGGCAATTAACCCTAACCTATTTTAATTGTTCAATTATTGGTTACTGGAATATGAAATTATGACCCATGCAAGTGAGAAATGGCTAAACTACTGCTTAGTTGTCAGTTCATATTGACAGAAACTTGGTAATCTGGCCTGAAAAAGGAGATATTGTAAACTCTAACAATAATTAGATGGCTTGATAATAGAGTGAAGAAACTTGTTTGGATGTGCAAAAATTCAGGTGCATGCATGTCTAAGCAAGACTTGAGCATAATATCTTGGGTCTGTTTTATGGCAGCCAAGCGTAATGTGCCTTCTTAGATGAGATGGGAGTATTGATAGAAGATGCATTCTTGGTTAGCAACTGATGACACATACAGGTTTTTAGATTCGGTGCTCCCTCAGCTGAACCCAATTCATTAAGGTTATGGTTGATAGACTCAACTTGAACGTGCATGAAGTTGGATGAGACCATGAATGGCATAATGCATTTTGATATTGTACTCTTTAAAGTTGAAGTATAATATCTGCTCGTAATGCACTCTCATTAGTGTATACAGAGAAGTTAGATTGATGACTATGCATATTAATCTGCATCTATTTCCTTAACATTGGACAGCATAAACAGAATAGAAAGGTATCATATTTTGTATTTTATGTTTAGATGGTATATAGTTATATGACATTTAAGTGATTATACCTAAATTCCTCATGCTGTGCTTAATTGAATTGACAGGGGATCTTTCTCGACGCATGTGCACAGCTGCAGAAATAAAGTTCTACTTCAGCAGTTTCTATGATAATGGTGGACAAAAGAATTATTTAAGACCTAATAAGAATTGCAACTTGACATCATGGGTGTCTGGATGTGAGCCAGGCTGGTCTTGCAGCGTTTCTGAAAATGAGAAAGTTAATCTGAAAGATTCCAAGGTTGTTCCTATCAGAGATGTCAATTGCCGCCCTTGTTGTGAGGGTTTCTTTTGTCCTCATGGTATCACTTGCATGATCCGTGAGTATCTTTGGTTTCTCTCTTGGATTAAAATATGTAACTTTGTTACTGTTATGCAGTTTATGATCATTATGGTACATTTGTTTAAGGTTTCATGATACTTGCTGGGTAATTTCAAGCAGCAATTCCTCTATTCTTTACTTGAATCTTTCATATCATAAGATCATACGTGGCATGGACTTAATGAGTCTTTCTAAATTTCTCTATTTCTGCTGTGTTTCTTCATTTCATTGCCTACTTTCTTTCACTTAAACATCAGAGTCAGACTTCTATATCTGAAACATGGAATTATTCATAGTTTTGCAAACCAAAATGTTTCATATTATGAAATGGTATAATATATATTATATAGTATGTGGCCTATTGTTGTTTATTGTTGACACTGAGCTATCTTGAGTGCCAAAGACTTTTAGGTCCTCAGCCAAAAATTTAAGATGCATAGATTGTTGAACAGTTGTTTCAATTTGCAGTTGAGCTGATGGCGATAGTGGTAGTCCTTTTTTTCATAGTCCATGTGTCTACAAGTTTTCGACCTAAGGTAGAACTGAGGGAGAACCCCCAGGTTCATTGCATACAAGTTTTTGACCTTTTTTCATAGACGATGTGTCTACTTTTTATAAGGTCAACTACAGAACACACAAACTATATACTTTTGTTCTGATTAATCATTCTCTTATGTTTTCAAAAATCATGGAATTATTTAATCTTCTTTGTCTTGTTTCACAAGTCTACTGCTTTGTTAAGGAGTATACTTTCTCTCTTAAGAAAAAGGAAAAATAGAAAGAAAAAGAAACTTTGACTTCTCTTAAGTTTTAACATTACCTGGTACTGCTTCTTAAATGTGTTCCTTCTTTTTCTGACTCTCTTTTCCTGCTTACCTGCTTTTTTACCTATTTCAAAAGAGTCAGAATTTATAAGAAAGTTCTTTAATTCCATTTTCTTTAATGATCTGTAGCTTGCCCATTAGGTGCATATTGTCCACTTGGAAAACTGAACAAAACTACTGGTGTCTGTGATCCGTAAGTTGATCCTGATCTTCTCAAATTCCTTCTGAATTCAGATTTATTCTTTTTCGAAAAACATTTTATGTTTTAAATTTTAATATTAGATATATATTCAGGTATAATTACCAGCTGCCCCCTGGACAGCCTAACCATACCTGTGGGAGTGCTGATATGTGGGCAGATGTTGGAACTAGCAGTGAAATCTTCTGCCCAGCAGGATACTACTGTCCAAGCACTATACAGAAAATTTCTTGTAGTAGTGGGTATTGTTTCTCAATCCTACTTGTCTAATTTCCTATTCTCTAGCTATAAGTATAGTGAAAGAATACTTCTATTTTGTAAATCAATTATGCCATGTAATGTTGTACTTTTGCAACTGATACCCATTGAAGTCCTTTCTCAGATATTACTGCAGGAAGGGCTCTACTTCTCAAATGAGTAAGTTCCTTCTGGTGGCTTATTCATCTTTTTCTGCCAAATATTTCATTATAAAATGATGATATGTATATGAGAGTAGATTCTTTATGACATTTCCTTTCTGGTTAAGTTGCTGTCTTGCTTGATGTCAAAGGTTTTTGTTCCATTCTACAATCTCCAGCATGTTGCGATTGGTGTTAAGCAAATTCATATATATGCATTACATGATGTGATAGGTCTTCATGGCTTCATGCACACAATAGTTGCATACTAGGGGATGGAACCCCTGATATACAGAGATATCCCCAGATGTCAAACAATCTGAGCTAGTTGACAATGGTAGCATAACATATTTCTTAATTTTATTATGAAGATCAATATCTCACAGTTAGCTGGTACTAGTAATCCCTTGCACCACATACTTCTTACACTTGCTTTCCATCTTATTTGTTCTTTGAAATAAGTATTATTCCCAACCATAAAACCTATGAAACCCCTCCCAGTGGTTGGTATCTACTTTTGTCTTAGAATAGTCCTTGTTTAGGGTTGTCCTGTCTGTGGTAGTATTGGGCTGGTTCAACACCACATTGAATGGCTTGTTACAGTCTAGTCACCTATCTTATGACCACAAATAAGAAGGAAAATGCAAATGATATTTTGATCCGACATGTGCTAATGGTAAGATGCCAATATGGA